TGCGTTCTGCAAGTGAATGGCGTATTATTGTGTCATCCCAAAGACACACAAAATCACTTTCACAGACTTTTTCATTAACTGTTCCCTCCTGGTGGAATGACCTGTCCAAATCAATCCCAGCAGCTGAGTCCTTAGCAATCTTCAAGAAACGACTAAAAACACATCTGTTCCACCTTTATTTGACCCTCTAACTCTAGCACTCTCTATTCTAATTCTATTCTTTAAAAAAAACACTAGCTTTTCTAATCTTTTTGTATTCTGTTTTCTTTTTATTTATTATATAATGTAAAAAAATACTTTGCTACGTGTACTGCATTAGGCTAACTGAGACTTGTTATAGCACTTGTATATCATTGCTCTTTTGTTGATTCTGATTTCTTCTATTGTCTTCATTTGTAAGTCACTTTGGATAAAAGCGTCTGCTAAATGACTAAATGTAAATATACACAGTACATATACATATATTACGTAAACAAAACTTTTATTTTGAATGCGATTAATCGTTTGACAGCACTAATAACAACAATTGGAGATGCCAACATGACAAACAGCAAACAGTGATCTGTGTTTATAGCTGAAGTGTTGTATGCTGAAGTATGTTTAAGTGAGGATTATATGAGCTCAGTTCAGCTTTGGTCTGTTATAGTTGTAACAGAACAGAGCGGCTCCGGTCGCTACTCACGTCAGGACCGGAATGGGGGTCCAGACGATGCAGTGCGGATAACGGCACATTTCTTTGTCGATTTTCTCGAAACCGCCGTGGAAGTGCTTCATTGTGTCTATCTCTGTAACATCCGCCATCACAGTCTGTGCGCGGTGACGTCACCCCGACGGCGTGCAGGCGCCGGAGTGTGTGTGTGTGTGAGTGTGTGTGTGTGAGTGAGTGAGTGTGTGTGTGTGTGTGAGTGTGAGTGTGTGTGTGTGTGTGTGTGTGTGTGTGTGTGAGTGTGTGTCTTCTGCTCGCCAAGGCTGCGTTTATTAGATCAAAAATACAGGGAAAACTGAAATATTTTTACCATTTAAATGAGCTGTTTTCTATGTGAATATCTGTTAAACTGTAATGTATTTCTGTGATGCGCAGCTGTATTTTCAGCATCATTACTCCAGTCTTCAGTGTCACATGATCTTCAGAAATCATTCTAATATGCTGATTTGAAAAAAAAAATAAATAAATAAATGGATGCTTTTATTCATAACGGATGCATTAAATTGATTAAAAGTGACCTATTAAAAGTCGCATTTATTTCAAATAAATGCTGTTCTTTTGAGCTGTTTGTTCATCTGTGAATCCTGAAAAATAAAATGCATCACAGTTTCCACAAAAATATTGTGCAGCACAACAATTGATAATAATCAGAAATGTTTCTCGAGCAGCAAATCAGCATATTAGAATGATTTCTGAAGATCATGTGACACTGAAGACTGGAGTAATGATGCTGAAAATACAGCTGCACATCACAGAAATACATTACAGTTTAACAGATATTCACATAGAAAACAGCTGTTTTAAATTATAATAATTTTTCACAATTTTTGCTGTATTTTTGATCAAAATAAATGCAGCCTTGGTGAGCAGACGAAATGTCACATATACAATATAATATAATATAATATATAGGCTAAACAAGTTTTCTTTTTGTCCAAAAAGTAGTAGCAACACCATCAAGGTCAAAGTGACCTATGTAGATATGTACTTAATTGACTTCATAATTTCTTCCCGTTTAAAAATTCCTGTAAAAACGAGCCCAGGGCTTCATGCATTAAATCCCAGCAGTGTAAGAACAGGTGTGAGACTGCATGCGATCTCTGCATTCATTCTTACTGTAGCGTGACATCTGGAGCACCGTTAACTGTACTACTCTCACAGCGTACAAACTGGAGCGCAGCTGCGCTTTTCTGACACGATGCCAGCAGATACAGGAGAAATATTGGGTTGGGATGTGTTCTAGATCATTCCATTAAAGCAAAGGCCATTTTCTGCACTACAGTAATGTGGACTGTGTTACATACTACTATAGCTTACTACATAGTGAATACTGCGCAGGATGCACTGCATACTACATCTGATTAATGCGACACTGAAAAAATGGTAAACATCTCAATTATCTAGTTTTTTTTACTTCACATTAAACAATGTTATTTAACATCACTAAATCTGTTCTTTTAGTATGATTGAGACTATTATTCTTTTTATTAATATTTTGAATGTTTTTGTTTTTTATATGCATAGTTTTTATATTTTTATTTCAGTTTTAGTTATTTTAGTACAAACAGGTTAAACTAAATTAAAATGAGAGATGCCTTGGGAACTAGCTGAAATATTTTACATTTTTATTTTATTTCAGTTAACCATTATTTTAAACTACAATCTCTTTTTTTAATGGTTCTAATTTTAGTTTCCTTTAACTATTACGACCATGCACTGAATCAACCCAAATACTTTAATTTATACCAACAAAAACACATTTTTATAGGTTAAATCAGGTGAAAATCACTCTTTAAGGTAACAGTTACAGTGTCCAGTAATTGGTGTGATTAAGTTTATGTAAAACAGTTTTAACTTTTATAAGTGTTATTATAAAGCGGAGAGTTCCGGTGCTTGATTCTGATTGGCTGAGCCGCGTTCGAAGCTGTTGTAAATGACTCTACAAAGTAACATACACCTTTGTTTACGTTTGTGTGTTGCTCGGCAACCACTTTGTAGCAACCACAACTGTTTATAATGAGTCAAAATATAGAAATGTCAAAATTGCAATTTCACAGGTCATTCACAGTATACATACTACATAGTATGCTATTCTAAACACAGCCATGGTCTTGCAGCCCATCTGGCCTAGATGTGCGCTATACTTCCCTCATTAGTGTATGTAGGTCAGGTGGCCTTTAGAGGACACAGGCTTCCTTCAACACGACAACAAATGAATTACACACAGAGAAAAAAAAACTAACTATTCAGCACAAAACAGACTTTGAATAATCGTGGGCAGGGAAAGTGAATGTAACACCTTCATCAAAGTAGCGCACAGGGATTGGGTGGCGAATGTATTTGCGTCAATTCAGAGCAACCAATCAGCTGCGAGAATCACGTCTGCACTGGAATGCATTGGTTGCATGGGTTGTTTTGTGTTCAATCATTCAGATGTTAAAAACAAAAATAAGGCGGACGCATCACAGGCTTTCTGTGGGTCTTAAAAATCTTAATTCTCCCTTTCACAGATTAAAGCTAGCCTATAGAAGGTCTTAAATTGGAGCAGAAAGTCTCACATTCATAAAACCTTGGCATTAAATGTTGCTTGCACTGCAAAAAATGAATATCTTGCTCAGTATTTTCGTCTCATTTTCCAGTACAAATATCTAAACGTCATCAAATCAAGACACATTTACTGGAGATGCGAAATGAACATATGAACTCTTGTTTTCTGAGAAACTGAAGTGAGTTTAGAACGAATATCTGTCAGTGGGGAATGAAAACTTGTTTTCCCTTTAAATTAATGTGATTCGTCTGAGCCCATTGAAAGATAATATTGTTTTGTCCATAAATTAAGTTATTTTGATAAATTTTTTGGATTTCTTGAAGATGTGAAAAGCAGAGGAACAGACAAACCGATTCAATTGAGTGAGTCATTTACTCTGGAGCCGCTCTGATTGATTCAAACTCGTGACTTCGATCATTCAGTTCAAGCGATTCACTAGCAAAAACCAGATCAAAAAAAGCCATTCATTTTCAAATTTCGCCATCGCTTGTAATGATTTTAAAAAGCACGTATATTGATGATGGGTGAAACTGAGTTCAACAGGATCACGTCTTGCGAATAATTTGATTTAAGGCCTGTTCACACCAAGGACGATAAAGATAGTTCTAAAAATAATTCTCAGTATTAAAGAACAGCAGAGTCCACACCACAGCTATAACGATAAAGGCACAGAGAAACGATATCGTTGGAATCACTTTCAGAATGATTTTTTCCAACTGATGAACAATAAAAACACTAACAGCCAATCAGAATCAATCCTGCTGTAATGAGCTCGAGAATTTAAAGCGGCAGGCGAGCATGCGCTGACAATAAATAGATGATATCATTTTATTTAGATCGGAACTTTAGAGCAGGTTCGCAAATCATTTTATTTAGATCGGAACTTTAGAGCAAGTTCACGAATCATTTTATTTAGATCGGAACTTTGGAGCAGGTTTGCGAATCATTTTATTTAGATCAGAACTTTAGAGCAAGTTCGCGAATCATTTTATTTAGATCGGAACTTATCGGAACTTTAGAGCAGGTTAGCGAATCATTTTATTTAGATCGGAACTTTAGAGCAGGTTCGCGAATCATTTTATTTAGATCGGAACTTTGGAGCAGGTTTGCGAATCATTTTGCGAATGGAATGATTCACGATCCGCTCTCCGAGTCCCGATCTGAAATGATGGTTCGCAAATCATTATTCACGGTTTGCGAGTCATTTTATTTAGATCGGAACTTCAGAGCAGGTTTGCGAATCATTTTATTGAGATCGGAACTTTAGAGCAGGTTTGCGAATCATTTTATTTAGATCAGAACTTTAGAGCAGGTTCGCGAATCATTTTATTGAGATCGGAACTTCAGAGCAGGTTTGCGAATCATTTTATTTAGATCGGAACCTTCAGAGCAGGTTTGCGAATCATTTTATTTAGATCGGAACTTTGGAGCAGGTTTGCGAATCATTTTGCGAATGGAATGATTCGCGATCCGCTCTCCGAGTCCTGATCTGAAATGATGGTTCATGAAACGTTATTCACGGTTTGCAAATCATTTGATTCAGATCAGGTGTGGGTTCGCAAGTCTGTTTTTCTGATTTCTTTTTATTAAACGGTACAAAACGTCAAACCATTAAGTCAGTAGGCCTACAGTTATAAAAAGAAAGTATACACAAATACAAATCCCTTAAGAAAATTAACTAATTAAATTAATTAAATTACTATAGTAAAAGTGTATGTTTTTTTGTATAACCAGTTTTACTACAAATACCATGGTTAAACAATGGTTAGTGTAGCAAAACCATGGCTAATTTGTTGTTACCATATTTATGGTGCATATCAGCATTGTTGTCTCCGGCGGGGGCGGGGCTGGGATAGACGATATTATCGGATATCGCGGTATTAAGGCGATTATCGTTAAGATATTTTTTACATAATGCCCTGCCCTAGAAGGTACAGTAAAAGTTATTATTTATTATTCTAGTGTCAAGATTATTACAGGTAACTAAAACTTAAAAATGTTGTAAAAAAAAAAGAAAAATTATTTACCTTGGTCTTAAAAAGGACTTAAATTGAAATTCATAAAACCTGCAGAAACCCTGAGCTGGCTTTAAGAAGTAAATAATATTTTAAAAAAAATTCACACATAATATTTGTAAATAAATTAATTTTATTTGAGACAGATGGGAAAATAAGAGTGGCTTTGTGTTTCCGACGGCTCTACGTCTGAAATGAGATCAATCTAGTTTGTCTCCATTATTACTGCGTTTATAAAGCCATGCTGTTGATGAGAAAACTCACATTTTATTCATATAATACGTTTTCCTCTGAAAACCCCCGAAAATGATCATGACAGCAACGACAGAGCTGCTGCAGAATTTTAAATGTCATTTATTCTTTTAAACGTTGCACTAAACTATACTGAAATCCCCAAAGGAAATGAACGCAGTGAAACATAAACACACATATCTCAAAATAGACCCGATTCTAGTTTCTTTTTACTGCTGTTAAATTTCATCTTCTCATAGCACACTGTGAAAAGTCTCTCTCTGTGCCTTTATTCTTCTCTTCTCAGGTTCATCGATGAAGATGAAAAGACAACAGTCAGACGTCCTGCTCGTGCTGATGAAGAAGGTAAAAAAATAATAACAAATCCCTTCAAAACATCATCATCATCAACAACAACAAACATTTTCAGTCCCAGCAAACCCGACTTGATGAACATTCACAATGCAAGTCTGGGTCGAACAGAAACACTGTACATTTCTCCAGAATAAATTCCAAACGAATGTGCTGCAGACCTACAAACATATTTCTATGAACAATAACACTCATTTTCTGTCCTCTGGCGCTCAGAGATCATCGAGTTCATTCGGGAAAGAAACAAAACGAGACAAAATCGCGTCCACAAGCAAGCCCCGCATTAGAAAGACCCAAGCGCTGTGTGACTTTGGAAACAAGCTTTAACCTGACGGCACGCCGAAAGTGTTGCGGATATTGATCTGTAAGTGCTTTGACTTGGCTTGGATTGTGCGAGGGAAGCTGACAGAGGGAAGCTGGGTTTCTCACTTCCATCTGCATAGTGCGGAGCGGCAGCATTCATTCACTCAGCGTCGCGTCGAAGAACTGAAATCGCAACGTAAATATCTAAGGTGCTTGGTGCTCCTGTGTTTTCTAGCTGGAGCGGCACTGAACCTGGCTCTCCGAGCTCTCTTCATCATCTGAGCCCTCGGTGCCTCGGCTGCTCAGACCTGTGATGCGATAGCCCATGTTTAGCAGCATCACCTCCAGCGGATCCGCGTTCATGCGCCTCTGGTTGGCTTGGGCCGCACCCTCCATGTCCTCCACCACCCGACAGTTCTCGTTCTCCGTCTGGTGATCGGTTACGCAGGAGAGAAAACAAGTCACGTTTGGTGCAATCAACAGTCTTTATCTGGCCTTAAAGACATGCCATCCCAGATTAGGATGAGTTTGTTTCTTCATCAGATCTGGAGAAATGTAACATTGCATCAGTGTCTCACTGCAAGTGAATGGGTGCCGTCAGAATGAGAGTCCAAACAGCTGATAAAAACATCACAATAATCCACAGCACTCCAGTCCATCAGTTAACATCTGGAGAAGACAAAAGCTGAAACAAATCCAGCATTTAGACGTTTTTAACTCAAATACATTGAGTCCATAATCCATAATAACACTTCCTCCAGTGAAAAAGTGTTCTGGTGTGAATCAGGAGAGAAATCTGCACAGATCAAGCAGCGTTTAAACAGCTCTAAACACATATGTGGCTGGATTTTGATGTGAGAGACAACAGGAGATGCACTTTTTCACTGGAGGAAGCGTTGTTATGGATTATGTATTTGAGTTAAAAACGTCTTAATGCTGGATGTGTTTCAGTTTTTGTCTTCTCCAGATGTTAACTGATGGACTGGAGTGCTGTGGATTACTTGTGGATTATTGTGATGTTTTTATCAGCTGTTTGGACTCTCATTCTGACGGCACCCATTCACTGCAGAGCATCCATTGCTGAGACACTGATGCAATGCTACACTTCTCCAAATCTGATGAAGAAACAAACTCATCCTAATCTGGGATGAACTGAAGGTGAGCACATTTACAGCTAAAATTTCATTTTTGGGTGAAATAGTCCTTTAATGCATTTGTTTAAGTTACTAAATCAACTCACTGTTCAGTGTAGGGCTGCAACAACGAATCAATGAAAATAACTGATAACGTATTCAATTATCGATTAATAATGTCTTCAAGCTGTGCATGGAAAACAGGAGTCACATCTGTTAAACTTCATGTAAACAAGTGCTTAAACATGTTTAACAGAGCGCAATAGAATAGGAGCACAATAATTCTGACTAAAATATACATTTTTCTAAAATATTTCTTGTTAGACATTAAATCTAAGTTTAATTGTAATTGTATTTTATGAAAGCAGTGAAAGTAATACGAGTGAATTTGTGTTTCTTGTAGCAGACATTTAGTCTGTGCTTTCGTTTTTCTTTGATATCATTTTTAATTTAGTGATTTACTTTTAAATTGTAACAAGCCTAAATTTTAATCCTTTTTTGCATGTTTAATTGCACATAGCCTACATGGATATACATATACTCTATATTTGTTTTTATTGCAATTTGCACATTGGACAACACTGAGGAGGATGTGGAATAACAATTTTGTAAAAAATTGATTAAAATTATCGGTAACACTTTATTTTAAGGTGTCCTTGTTACATATGTTACATGCACTTACTATTATAATAACAATGGCTGCAGGCAGTTCACTATAGACTCGTCTCCCTGTAAGATCCGCACCAGGTTCGTCGTCTCTTTGTCCCAGATGAAGAACGAGCCGTCGTCTGAACCGCTCACAATGTACTGGCCTTTACTGCAGAGAGACAACCGAACGAGTCAAGTCAAAGTCAAAGTCAACTTGCATGGCAATGGTTAAAAGCGAAACATAGTGCCTTCAGGGAACAACGGTGACACATATATACAGATATACTACAAAAAACAATAGTACGAACAATAAGGTAGTTAATGATAAATAAACAGGACATGGATACATAGCCTACATGGAGTATAGCAGCATTTGGAAAAGTTGTAGTGACAGGTAAATAAGTGTGTGAAACACGTACAACATTCATTATATGTGGATTATTTACATTTATATTAAAGAGGGAATTCACAACATGGGCTATTAATCAAAAATTGGCTGTCTACGCAGTAGAAATAAGGATGCACCGAGATGAAAATTCTTGGCCAAAGGCCGAATACAGAAAACATGTCTTTTCGCATTTTCCCCCTCATATATTTTGCCAATTTTTTTCACCATTGCATAAATGAAATAGCCAAAATGTGCGTTTTACTGTTTTGTCTAGCTTTTTAATTTAATTTAATTTAAAAATATTTACTCAACACTGAACATTTTTTTTAACATTCTAGCAGACACTATACCAACAAAGCACACTTTAACTTAATTAATAAGCTAGTAAAATATTGGGTTTTTTTGGCCATTTTTGAGACCCCCTTCTTGAATCAGGCATGTATTTTTTACCGTACAAATAAATGCAGCCTTGTTGCGCAGAAGAGACTTTTTAAAACATTAGAAAATATTACAGATCCTAATTTGAACACTATGTGTGAGTGTTATAATACGTTTGCTGCATTAGTGCACGCCTCTATTTGATCGCGTCACGTCATTGTTCGGTATAATTTATTTAGTCTTTTTGCTTATTTTATTTTTTAAAATTTTTTGCTATTTTCGGCCGAATAATTTCAGTTGGCGAACATTCAGTGCTGTGGCGTTCCCTTTTGCCAAAAACTTCAACACAGATAATGCACTTTTAATTTTGCCTCTCCGATCTGACTGTTTGTCGGTAAGAATACAAAAATGCAAAAGCTCGATCTTTAGTTTTAATAAAAGCCCTAGAGCTGTCACAAATCCACAAAACAATGCGTTTTGCATAACACGGACGACTTCTGCTGGCAAACAATCAGGGCTATGTGGATGCAGGTTTCACAGAGAAAGTGTACACACTGTTAACTTACACATACTACCTACATTGTAACAATACAAAGCTGGTTGAAAACTGATAAACTTACTCTTTAATGCATTCGGCAGATGCTTTTATCCAAAGCAACTTACAATGCATTCAAGCTTTTATCAGTCATGCATTCGCTGGGAATCGAACCCATGACCCTGGCGTTGCTTGTGCCATTACTCTACCGTTTGAACTTCAGAAATGCATTATTTTAACTAAAGAACCATTTTTGACATGTAGACTCAAAATGTTTCATGCAAAATTAAAATACGGTAAAAATGAGTGCTGGGCAACGATTAAATTGCATCCAAAATAAATACATAATATATGTGTGTGTGCTGTGTATATTTATTATGTATATATAAATACACAAACATGCACGTATATATTTAAGAAAAATGTTATGTTTATATATTAAACATATTTATATATAATATAAATTATATTAATATAAATATATGCATGCAAATACATGTATATATTTTCTAAATATATACTGTATGTGTGTGTATTTATATATACATAATACATATACACAGTACACACACATATGTGACCCTGGAGCACAAAACCAGTCATAAGGGTCGATTTTTTGAAACTATTTGAAAATCTGGAATCTGAGGGTGCAAAAAAATCTAAATATTGAGAAAATCATCTTTAAAGTTGTCCAAATGAAGTTCTTAGCAATGCATATTACTAATCAAAAATTAAGTTTTGATATATTTACGATAGGACATTTACTAAATATCTTCATGGAACATGATCTTAATATCCTAATGATTTTTTAGCAATAATTTTGACCCATACAATGTATTGTTGGCTATTGCTACAAATACACCCCAGCGACTTAAGACTGGTTTTGTGCTCCAGGCTCACATATATTATATAAACAAAAACGTATTCTATTTTGGATGCGATTAATCGTTGCCCAGCACTAGTAAGTGTAAGGCTGGAGTTTAAATGAGATGCTATTAAAACACCTCTGAATCATGAAACTGGTCTTTCTTCAGGAAGCAATAAAAATGCATTAAAGTCATCACAATACTATTAATAACACGTACTAAATATATGACCCAGACCTGACTCATTAGGGAATATGTCAGTAAACTGACCTTCCGAAGAAGTTGGCTTCTTTAATATCAGTGGTGGTGTTGCAGTGGCCACAGTAGCGATGCTTGTAGTCGAAGCTGCGCTCTCTCAGCACGATCTCATCCTCCGGGATGGACTCCTTCCGGCTGAAGTTATGGAAGCGGATGGAGCTGTTCCCCTTCTTGTCATCAGCTGGATGCATGCAAAATACGCAGAGAGTCCTGATTATTCAAATGCATGCACAAAAAACCCCCAAGACCCAAGACTGAACCTACAGGAGTCTGTTTTTGAGAAGAGGGCCGCCTTGATGTCTCTGTCGAGCGCGTCGCATGCGCTGCTGTGCGCCTGCTCTGGAAACTTGCCCTTGAAGTCATCTAGACACTCCAGAGCCTCGGCGATGTACTTGAGCTCAAAGAGGCAGCGCGCTAAGCGGAAGTGTGCCTTCAGATGGCCCGGGTTCAGAGACAAGGCCTTCAGACAGTCCCGCAGCGCGTCATAGTGATCGCCGTCCCTGACAGACACCAGAGCAAACCATGCACTTCACATTAAAACACTGGTTAAGGCTAGACACTATAGGGAAAAATCTATTTTGTCATGCACTGGCTTATCATTGTGCTTTGTTTCAGACTAGTGGACAGAAAACATCCGAAATACGCATTGAAGTGTTTATAGAGCGCATTAGTCCCGCCCACTTTATCAGCAGCAATATCTTCCCACTCATACTTCCCATAGGGATTTAAAAAAATAAAAGTCTTAAAAACCAAACCAACCAACTGCGAGGACAACGACAACAATATTGACTTTGATCGGACAAAAAAAACAAAAACACAACAACACTGTACTTTATTGAGGGAAAGAACAAAGACATAATCAAATTAAAAATGATGGAGAATTGTTCAAACTATTAATTTAAAGTTGTTGGTTGTATCTACAGAAACAATATATTTTAAGTTCATTGCAAAGTATTCTCGATTACGTCATTCGCCGTGCTTCATGGGAGTGGGCGGAGCTAAAGAGCTCTTGGCACACTTTGCTCGCTGCGATTGGTGGGATTTCTGAACAGCATCATGGGTAATGTAGTTTTTCACCAAGAATTCTACATGATTATTTTAAAAATACACTACCAGCCAAAAGTTTTTGGACAGAAAGAAGTTCTTCTTTTTTAAAGAAGTCTCTTCTGCTCACCAAGCCTGCATTTATTTGATCCAAAGCACAGCAAAAACAGTACAAATTGTGAAATATTTTTACCATTTAAAATAACTGTTTTCTATTTGAATACATTTTAAAATATAATGTATTTCTGTGATCAAAGCTGAATTTTCAGCATCATTACTCCAGTCTTCAGTGTCACATGATCTTCAGAAATCATTTTAATATGCTGATTTGCTGCTCGAGAAACACTTATTATTATTATTATTATTATCAATGATGAAAACAGCTGAGTATAATTTTTTCAGGTTTCTTTGATGAATAGAAAGTTCAGAAGAACAGCATTTATCTGTGACATTATGAATGTCTTTATCATCACTTTTGATCAAATTAAAGCATCCTTGTTTAATAAAAGAATTAATTTCTATAATTTTTTTTTATTTTGAACAGATGGGTTCAAAAAAATCAAATGCAATCGATTAGCACAACACAAGGTTTATTAATGGTTGCACCCAATTTTGAATTTTGCACAATATTGAACCTTGTGCATATTTAGTGTCTCATTTGCACATAGAATTTTGACTTCATGTCCTGGTGAAGTAGAATTCTACTCTATTCACCTGTAGTGTCATGCCTTAATGCACAAAAGGCTGTGATGCAACTACACAAATGTAAACCGTGCATGTGATGCATCATGCTGTTTCCAATGTCGAAATCGTGACAATATGATGTTTTATAAAGCGAATCATCTTGCATCGGAAGCGTTTATCGTACCACTTTCTCTTCATGTACGCGGCGGCGCGGTTTCCGTACAGCATGGCGTTGTGGCCGGCTTCATGGATGCCCAGACTGTAGAGCTGGATGGCTTGAGTCCACTGCTGGCGCGCGAACGCATCGTTAGCCTGCTGCTTGATCCGCTCCAGATGAGGAGGAAGATCACTGGAGCCGCTGGAGACGCAAATACAGACCACAGTTACACTAGAATATGATGGCAATAACGTCATACAAACGTGACAGCGACAGAATCAATGACGCAGTCGGCATTACACACATAAATCAGTCTTACCTGGAGACTTTAGCCAGTTTGAGGCGGCTAGCAGGAAGATGAATCCCATTGGACACACCATTGGTCGTCTTCCCATTTTGTACCTCTGCCATAAACAAAGCACACGATTAGTTTGACGACTCATTATTTATGAGATCGGATGTTTTAGTAGCGTCTCTCATTTAAACTTCAGTAGTGAAACATTTCAGAGTTGGCGAGTGATACATTGTGCAATACAAAAGTGATACATTTCTGTGAATCAAACTGTTACAATGAACTCTTTTCTCAGAGTTGTGAGTTTATATCTCGCAATTCTGACTTTATATCAAGTTCGTATCACGCAACTCTGAGAAAAATGTCAGAATTGTGAGATAAAGTCACAACTACCTTTTTTGTTTTTTATTCAGTGGGCATCCTTACTGCAACATTATTTTAGTATCATTGAGATGCTATTGCAATTTTTATTAATATTTCTATTAATAATAGCTAATAACTGTTAATAATAGTTTTTATTTTTTCATTTGAATATTTTCCGTTTTAATTTTAATTTTAAAGTTTTAATAACTTCTGTCTTTTTTTTTACTTTTAGTTGTATTTTAGTACATCAAGTTAAACTGAAAGAAAATGAGAAATGTAGTCTTGGCAGCTAGCTAAAATTAAAAAATATATATATAGTTTTTTATATTTTATTTCAGTTGATGCTTTTTTTTGTTTGTTTTAAGTAACAAAAATGTATTTATTGTTAAAAAAAATGAATTTATTTTTTATTTATTGTATTAATTTTAGTTTTAGTAAACTATAATAACCTTGCACTGCAAGGTGTTAAACAATTTTAATCTACTTGGATATTTAGAACAACTTTTGTAGTGCTGTCAAACAATTAATCGCGATTAATCGCATCCGAAATAAAAGTTTTTGTTTGCATAATATATGTGTGCTGTGTATATTTATTATGTGTATATAAATAAACACACATACTGTAAATATTTTTTAAATATTTAAATGTATATACATTTATATATTTATATTCTTATATCTAAATAAGTTTAACATATAAACAACATATAAAAAAAAAAATATATATATATATATATAATATATTTTTCCAAAAAATAAAAATTAACAAATGTAAAAGTTTTCTGTTTAATGTAATTGTATTTTTGTTTTTCTGCGCAAAAAAATATAAATTTATTTGTGGGTCAAAGACGAAAAAGGGTTTAAGCATAAAAACAATACGTGTAATACTGCTTAAAATTGTTGTTTTTCCCAATTTTTTTTTTTTAAATTCTGTTTAATTTAATTGCAATTTTGTTTTTTTGAGCAAAAAATAAATATCATACATTTTCCCCTGATTTACAGAAGAGACACACTAAAATGTCATTCAGTGTAACAATCTTATCAGGCATATTTACAACAAAAATCAATTTATGAC